ATCAGTTTCATCTGGCAACAACCAACCATCTTTGGGAGCCTGATTAAAACCATCCTCATTTGAGTCCTTCGATGATGATGACGAACCATTTGTTGGTGAACTGTTCTTGGGTGTGTGAATGGAAAAGGATGGAATCCCACCATGTTGTGAGCCCTGAAGTCCAGCAGGTTTCGGTTTCTCACCTTGTTGTCCTCTACCTGGTACAATGTACCCGGCTTGGATTCTGGGGCCATTCGGGTCAAAACCACCCCATTGATTTGTTGTACCACCATTTGATCCAACCCCAAGACCACAACCAGTCTGAGCCATCAGCCCCCCTGAAGCTAAGTTCCCACTCTGCGCGACATTTGACGCGCATCCTCCAGGAAACCTTGCTGAGATCGCCATAGGTGCCGCGGCCGCAGCTGCGATAGACGCGCTGCTAGCTGCCACACCTTGCAATGCTCGGAAGCTGGATGGTGCCAAACTTGGAGGCGGACATGGTGCTGGGTCAAAACCATGATCCTGAATTCTATTCAAATCCGCGCCATTCTTGGCTGTCAATGTGCTCAGTAATGTTGAACATCTCCAACATGACGGTCGTCCAATGACATTCTGTGATCCACAACATGTACAGTACATCACTTCCAGAGGATTGGCACTAGCAATACTAGCACCTGCTGACATGATTTCAGTTGGCTGGGCTGATTGGTAAGCTTGGGGTAGATGTTCAAAAGGATTCCCAATAGGTGACCCCATCATCGTCCCAGATGTCGATCCTACCCGTTCAGGATGGGTCATGATCACCTCCAATTTGGAGCTAAGTTCCTTGAGCTCCGCCACAGCCCTCTGTCTTTCAGATTCGGCCTGCAACTTCACGAAGTTCACTTGGCCCTCAGCCGACTTGCGGCTATCCTCAAGTTCTGCCTGTAGCCTCATGTTGTCTTCGGACAACTTCTTAATCTGGTTGACGGCTTCTTGTTGAAGTTGTTCAAAACGTTGTTGTGCCTGTTGATGAGTTTGTCTCTCTCTCATCTCAAGCATCTGTTTCTCTTGGTTGAGTTGTTGCAACTTTTGGTACACCTGATCTTGCAACATTTGGTGATTGTTTCCTGCCTGTTGCCTGATGCTTTCAACTTCTTGTTGCGCTTGCTGTCGGAGTTGCTGATAGTTTGCCTCTGCCTTTGCGTTTACCAGTGATTCCAACAATTGTTCCAACTGTGTGGGGTCTATCTGGTTGACCTGTTGTTGATACATATGTTGTTGGATGGTATTGTGCTGATGAAGACTAGGGGGAACACCGTGTTGACCCGAAGCTGAACTTCCACCCCATTGAGCTGAACCACCAGATGCCGCAGCTGACCCCTGTCCTCTCTTCAGCCTGTTCGCCAAAGATATCGCCTCCTGAGTCGGGTTGGCAGGTTGGTCACTAATGTGCATCATTGCAGCTTGCTGAGATTGCTGTTCTGCAAGTTTCTCTGGGGAGTCAGTCGATGAAGTCCATGTACTGTTGGGTCCGTCCACTTTGAATGGGGTCGCCGGCACCTCCCTCTTCATGTTTTGGCACGGGAACTCAAATTCAGGGAACTTGTCAATGCCAATCAGCTATGCAAAATTGCGCCAGATGGCAGCGAGCAAAACTGGCAGTGCAAACTTCTCCAACAAATCGCGCAAGCGCGAGAAGGAGGGCAAAATGCCGAACACCAAGCTTGCAGTGAAACAACCTGTTGCGGTGAAACTATGTTGCAGTGAAACTTGAAACAAGCAAAAATTGCGGTGAAACTCCTTGGCAACAATTGCAGTGAAACCTCGTTCTTGCTCTTGCTCTTGCTCTTGCGCTTGCGCCGCTGAGAAATGAGTCAATGAACAACTCCTCAAGATGTCCTGCGCTCCTTCACCAGAGGCTTCGCAAGAAGCTGGGCAACCCGAAATCTGCAGCCGACTCCTCCTCCAGTAGATCGTCGAGCTCCTCAAGAGCTGCCGATGGCCGATTGGCGTGCGAGATCAACACCCGACACCTGTTGCCAGCGGCTCGACGAGCCTGAAGTTGCTCCACCTCCTGCAGGAGGGAGCGCTGGTCGTCCACAAAAATGGCCGCCCCCACACGGCAGACTTCTTCTGCCTTAGATGTGGCACAGCCCGTGAGCGATGGCCTGTCACGGGCAGGATCCGAAGTGAACTTCCGGTTGACCACGTGGATGAACCTGAAAGCTCGTGTCAACTCAGTCTCAAGATCACGTGCCTCACGAAGCACCCTGGACTGAGTGGCTGGCGCCGATGCGAAGGAGCAAATGCCAAGATCGTAGCCCAATGACTGAGCTCGTCGAAGCGTCTGCTTCACCCTCTCGGGCACGTAGGATCCACCACTCTGAGACTCAAAGGACAGCGTCCGATGCCAATCAAGAACTATGAGCGGTCGCTCAACCGAAGTTCCTGGGCGAGTAGATGCCACCGATGAATCTGGAGATGAACGAGGTTCGGCCTTTGCCTTGGCCACCACTGTTGCCTTTGGAGCAGCCTTAGGCTCCGCAGGCCTCAACGATCCCCTTGACCCGGTGCGAGAAACTTCACTGGTCCCTGCCGTCGATGATGTCCTGGCCGGAACTCGAATGGTCCTCCTTGTGGTCACTGGAGTCGATGCTGAGGCTGTATCGCGCTCTGCGCGAGCTGTTCCAGATGTCCTCACCCCTCTTTCGCGCTCAGCGCGAGCTGATGTCTCCGCCGGCCGAGTTCGATCTTCGCGCACAGCGCGAGCTGATGCTTCCGCCGGTCGAGGTCGATCTCCACCTTCGCGCACTGCGCGAGTTGATGTTGTCACCAATCGAGATGGATCGCCGCTTTCGCGCGCTGCGCGAGGTGATGTTGCTGGATGAGATGGAACTTCCCTTTCGCGCTCTGCGCGAGGTGATGTTGCTGCCCGATTGGATGAACGTCCCTCCACAACACCAGCCGAGTCCCGTGAGCTCCTGCCTTCCACCCCTGTCGGAGTTTCCGCCGAAGATCGATCAGAACGCCTTGGCACTGGTGCCACTGAAGAAGATGTCAACCGAGGACGAGACGCCGAAGTTGGCTCAGAATCACCAGCAGGCCTGTCCCTCACGTCAGCCTGCTCTGGGACCCAAACCCACCTCCACTCACCCCTAGCACCCGGTGCCGGTGGTGGTGGCTGAGGTGGCTCCGGAGGTGCCCGACCAAGTTCCTCTGCTGTAGCAAAATCGATGGCTGAAGACACACCGCGGTTGTACCTGCTCAATTGGCTGGACCTCCACGGGTTGCCCCCTCGTCTGCCACGAGTTCGAACTCTTGATCGGGAACGGTCACGTCTATGATCAGACATGCAGTCGCGCCAATGGCGGCGAAGGATGGGAAAATTGTCGCGCAAGCGCGAGTGAAAGATTGAAGGTGCCAATGAAAGAACAATTCAGTGATCTATGCAATTGAAGTCTTAGATTTCTTGCCGATATGTTCAGTCTTTCAATAGCTCCCAATTGATCTCACAACTGCAGAAATAAGCCGGGCTACGGCTGATAACCACAAAATTCCAGTAAATCCAGTGAATGCGGGGATTGTACCAGAAGTAATATTGACGTGTATTCAAGATGCAGTAGTCAACAGATGTAACAATGGCCAGTGAAGCTAAGCACAAACACCTGTTTTAGCGGGCACCTTGAGCCAAACGTTGTTGGCCAAGTAAATGGTTTGATGACCAAAACCCCGGATTACAGGATTAAGGAAATGAGTTATCATTGTCGATAACTATTTGAATAGTCTATTCCCGTTGTAAAAACCCTGACATTATGTACACTTTACAGTCAAAGGCAACAACAATATAGTGGGCTCCGTTTTGGGACCACTATGTGGTATGAACATGCATACACGGCATAGGGGTTATTCGAGTATTTTCTACTCTATAAATGGCAATTTTTAATAGCTATGTTAAATTACCAGAGGGTATAATATATATATATATATATATGAATAGTGCAGTTTCTATTGCCATGTTTGATCGCCGGATGGTAGGTATAGATATTCTGGCAGTTTAGTGGCACATGAAATGACATGATAAAACAATGCAAAAACAGTTGAATTGAACATTCTGATTTCCAACAGGATTTGTTCTTTCCAACACATTCTGTTTTAACAATCATTGAGTTGTTTCCTACAAACCTTGGGGTTTCCTGCAAGATTTCACATGTGAGACTTATTCCAATTCTGTGAAGTCCTCTGTTGAAAAAATGGTATCACAAAGTATTACTAGCATGGGACATGTATCTCCAGAATACCAAACCACCAACAATTCTGGGACAATAAGCAACGATCACTTCTGTTTCTGTTACCAAAGTTCGACCGAAAACAGGCCAATCCATGTGTTGAACCCAGTTGTTTCACGCATTTCGATCCGCACGCCGCAAGATGAACGAAGGATTTCACCGAGATGCACAGAGGAAAAAAAACTGTGCATGGGCAAAGTCTCTAAAAACCGCACAGTTTCAATTTCTGAACGACAACATGGGTCATTAAATGTCCCCATTGAACATCACCCAACCATTAGGTATATGGTCTATAATGGCTACTATAAGGTGATGTCCAATATACCCAAAATGGGACAGTTACCAACCCCTGGACAAGCAAGTGCCAAATATGTGCGTTTTCTTCTGGTTGATATGGAATCTGACAAGGGGTTATCGTCCAAATAACCGAAAGAAGGCATCCCTGGATGAGCACCCTACGGCTGCCGGATCTCAGACTCGGTCGGTTTTCATTCATTTTGAAAGGTCAAACTGATCTAAAGCATCTTAAAGGCTGTTTGATAGTCTTTCCAATATAACAATTCTTTATATATATATATATCATATATATCAAAATGATTATATATTATATATATAGTCGTATATAAACATATCTATATATATATATATATAATTCTGTTGAGGTAACATCCAAAAAATCCACCATCAGAGATCGATAAAAATCACCATCAGTTTCAACCAATGGCACCAGCACTTTGAAATCCGGCGCGCCTTCCCAGGTCAATTTTCGCGCGTCCAAGGATGGCAGCATCAGCACGTACATGGAGACCTTACGGCCATCCAGGCGTGATCCAAGTGATGCATAGGAAAACCATGGGATTTCCATAGGAAAACCATAGGATTTCCATAGGAAAACATAGGAAAACCATAGGATTTCCATAGGAAAACCATGGGAAAACCATAGGAAACCATATGTCAATGGATTGGTTTAAGGGAAAAACATACAGGAAAACCATGAAAAAAACATATCTAATGGGAACATCCTGTAGATTTTCCTTTTAACCAATCCATTGACTCAGAGATTGCCAAGAAATGTGGTTAGTGAACCAGAAATAGGAACTGACCAACAAACATGGATATGTGATATATTATTTTTGGCGTTACAGTTGCGCAATGATGATCTTGCCGCAAGATGGATATCCTCTTATTGATGATTGCTACCTACAAATAATTGGACGCGGGGTGGGGATTATGATTATGATGATGATGATGATGATGATGATGATGATGATGCGGTTACATGGTGACCATATAAATACAGGTACCCCAAAATGGATGGTGTATAGTAGAATCAAAATAGATGATTTGGGGGTACCCCATTTCAGGAAACCTTCATATATGTATAATATGATATGTGTTATTATCCCATTAAATCCTGGTATTCCCTTCTTTGCGGCACAATAAGCCATGTTTGACAATGACTGACCCAATGGATGTCTAAATTATTTGAGCTCATGGGCTAAATTCCTGAATCGGAAAGGTATTCTAGGTATTGGCAGCATGATTCCTTGATCAACACATGTATACGTGATGTCTCAAAATGATTCAAAATGTCTCTAATCCCAGTACATGAGACAAACATCTTGGTTTCTGAGACTTCCCAAGTTCTGATGCTATTCTGATCCTGATGGCTCTTGATGCGCCACAACTGCAGCCACAGCTGCTATGGCTAACCATTGAACAACCTCATCGTGTTTTCCATCCCAAACATGAACTCATTCACCAAGCATCTGTTCCTACTCGTCATTCTTTGCTTCTCACAAAAACTCACTTGCGAGAAGACTCCCGTACATCTCTTGATTTTTGGAGTACTTACATTCCCTCCCCCGGTTCACCAGCATCACCGTCACCAGCCCATCTTGCAAGTAGTCACTTTGTCTTTACCCCGGCGACTTTGTTCAAGTGACAATCATCAGGGCCACCAAGACCATGAGGAAAAAGACCGGCACCAAACAGTCGTGGTGTGAATCTCGGCATTCCAATCGTTTGGCTCGTTGATGTGGGTGCGTCTGAAAAGGGAGGAAAAAACACCGAAATTCCAATTCCAATTAGGATGATAAACACATATTAACAATATTTCAATATGGTGTACCCAAATTTGAGACAAGCCTGTATTGTTGAACATCATCATCTGGGAATCGCTTCGGATATTGGTGATCCCAATTCTCAATCCAAGCAGGGAGCCCAGCTAACACCTTTCAGACACGGAGGCAAGCGCGAGTAAGGAATGTTGCAACATGCTAGCCGTCTTTTCATGTCCTTCCCTATAAGACAAGCGGGAATTCAACAACTCCTGCAGCTACTACGTGATACTACGTGCGCATAGTATTTGAAACCCTGTGACCAAAGCCTACACAACTGATTTCAATGGGAAGACACCAATGATTGGCGACCAAAACACTGGCGGCATGCAAGTTGATAGAGTGACCCCTGCGACTGTGGTGTGGGTCAAAAGAAGACTCCAAGACACGTGACTCTACAAAACTGTTGTTCTGTTCCCCCTAATAGATATCCCCAGATACCCCAGCAGAAAGGTTGGTTTTGGTGATGGTATTAAGTAGTTCAGTTACATAATATCCTTATCTATAGCAAATATAGGGGAGTACTCACCCCCTGTTTATCCAACATGATTCTGTACTAAATAGTCATACGAGCACACTGGTGCCCGCCAGCTCTGAGTGGGTAAACCCCAGTAACGACAGAACAGAAGACACCTACAAGAAACCATAGTGAAGCTAGTCACTTCATCTTATTCGCCATTAGCTATAACTATTGTTTGGGGGGTTTTCAAAAATCTGGTGGTACTCCCCATGAGTTTTATTGTATTTTACCACAGCTAGAGCTATTCCCCATCCCATTTAACATCAGCTATTTGATTAACATCAGGTGCTATTCCCCATCTGTTTCAAAAATCACCTGGCAACCCGGTGATGTAAAAATAACGCCCAGCCGCGGCCGATGCTTTCCAAGTTCAGAGGTCTCAGGTTTTCAATGAAGGAACCTGAGGTGAGAAGTCCCACTGCCATCTCTATATATATATACACGACTAGCAAGGTATTTACGGCAATGAAGAGCTATATACATTGCGTGTATATTATGTGTAAGTAGATTATAGACACTACAGTCATATGTGTTATATAGTGTGTGCTATGTAGGCAAAACATCTAAAACAAAAACATGTACCCTCTGGTAAACTAACATAACTATGGAAAATCACCATTTTTTAATTGGAAAGCTCACTATAAATTGCCATTTTCAATAGCTATGTTAGTCATTACCAGAGGGTATATCATTGTATATCTATACAGATCGATATTGGGGTATCATGGAACTGATGGCCCCGACCAGTTCCAAATTTGTGATCGTCCATCGCTAATTTGAGTGTTTGAGTGAATTGAATTGATTATATAATTTTGGCTTGTAGCAGATATATCATGAAAAAAATCTGTAGTTAACGAGGTTTAGAAAGCAAATTGTTTATGAATCTGACATCATCATCCTTTTTTCAGTTCCGTTCTTAGATCGATCCACATCAACAAACATGAGTCTCATGAGCCAAATCCTCATTCTTAACCAACAGGATATTTGTGGGGCTCCATCCAGCGTATTTCTACCAGTTCAAAACGGGTGGTCTACCAGTTTTTTGCCAGCCATTTGGCTATAAGTTATGTATTACTTGCGTATAAGATCGTAAAAGGATCCCCAAAAAAAACTACAACAGTTTTTCACAGATGTTCCAACATGTTGTACATTGTAGATGATGTGTTTCCCCATAATTTCTGGGTGTTCAAATTGTCTATCTATTTGGGGGTCGTGCGATATGTTGCGTGAAAAGGAACAACTCTGCAAGATCATGCGAAACCAAGCAGTTATATAACCACAGTTGTAGGATGTTGTCAATGGCCATTTCAGGAACCTAAATTGGAGGTACCTACCATATATAAGGCCTATATAAGGCCTAAATTTCAGGGAATATCCCAGCAAAATATGGCCTGAAATATGGTACTAACGTACCTCCATTTTAGGATCCTGGAGATCTCCCATTGATGTTGTAGGGGCCCCATATGGTAAAGTAACCCCAAATGCGCCCCCAGGAACGACCCCTTTTCGAAGCGTTTGCTCTCGCCGACCTATTGGACCATATCGGACCTATCGCGCCAAGCGTCGCGAACGTCGAGGCGCAAAGGCGTCGAAGAGCAGCTCTGCGACCTGCCGGTTTAGCCCATAAGTTCCTGTAAGTTCATCCTCCCAGGCGGTTCATCCTCCCAGTAAGTTCCACACGAAAGAAACTACGAGGATCATCAGACAGCCCATACCTGGTGAGTACCCTCTGGATCCCTCTGGTAACGACTAACATAGCTATTGAAAATGGCTCATTTATAGTTCATTTACCTATTAAAGATGTTGATTTTCCATAGTTATGTTAGTTTACCAGAGGGTAACCCTAGTTGCAAGCCACTGCCCTAAATGGGATAACATGGGATAAACAACTTAGGGATACTTATAGGAGACTTACTAGGCCACTGGGCAGGGCTATTAACCAGTTACTAAGTGAAATTACCAGCAGGACGTGACTTTGGAGTATGAGAATTCCTCCTACAAAGCATCGGCACTCGACCCTATCTCAAAATACCAAACTCGTGTCAATAAACATAGGGAGAGTGGAAGTGCAATAAACCTATTTTTCTCAAATACTGCTTTTCTTTGGAGTATGAGAATACATCCTATACATCATTTAATTTCATTGCGGAAAACAAACCAAAGCCGTGTCAACCATCGCATCGCGCATTTCGCTAAGTTGAAGCAATGTGGGATCCATGTTTATAAACCGTCCCACCGGGATACCAATATTACCCTCTGGTAATTTGTTACAGTTTGCTATGGAAAATGACCATAGAAATAGTGGATTTACACATGAACAATGGTGATTTTCCATAGTTTTTTGTGAGTTTACCAGAGGGTAAAGTAAAACTTGGAAATGGTGTCCAACAAAAGTGAGAAACAACGCCTCCATGAACTCTAATATTTACATCGCCAAGTCTTTTTAGCTGAACCTCCATTCTACACTGTTGCTCCCAACACTTGAGATACTGTTGGTTGGAAACCCATTGCGACTCGTATTTTCTAAAATAAAATGGGTTGGAGCAAGCCTCATATACTGCTCGATATATTCCATTCTATTCCATAGATTCATATACGTTCACTAAATTGTCCATTATATTCCATTATATTCCATTATATTCCATGATATTCCATTATATTCCATTATATTCCATTAAAACTATATTCCATTATATTCCATTAAAACTATATTCCACTATATTCCATATTCCATTATATTCCGTTCCATACATTCATATACGTTGTTGCCTAGGTTCCACAAAAAATCACCATCTACGATCATCTGCTCAAATCCAACAAGTTGCAGCGAATCTATTGGGTTTGCCTTCACATTGGGATGGCCCCCAAAGCCACCTTTTTTATCATGATTTTCCCGTATGTCCTTTAAGTAAGCCTACTATTTTGGAGACTTAAATAACCTTCCCCAAAAAGATCGACAAGTGTTTCCAGAAGCTTCAACTTCTAAGAGATACTTCTAGTTTTCCCCATGGTTTCCCACGTTTCGATATATTTTGGGGAACATACTTGGTGGTGAACTAGCCCCGAATCCTAAGTAGGTTATATCCCTGTTTTCTTCCATGGGATAAGTAGGGTTTTATCGAAACCACTAGGGTGAACTAATCTACTTACCCTCTGGCAAACTAATAGTGTGCTTTGGAAAATCCCTACTTTTCATAGATAAAATTAGAGAAACCAACTATTTCTAATGCCCATTGTTAAACCATCAAATCACCACATCAATAACCATTTGTAGTGGTTAAATCACCATTTTCCTATGGTTTTCTTAGGGAATCACCAATAAATCACCATTAAAGTCGTAACTTGTTTGTTCAAAGACACAGACAGACCCCGTCTCACGTCTCAACGTCTCAACGGCCTCCAAGACAAATTTCAAGGCCACGGCGTTTAAAAGCAGGTCTTGAACCTCATTGCGCATGAACCACGGCAGGCCACGGCGAGTTCGTCAACTGGACAAATCATGTGTACCATCTGGTTATGACTAACATAGCCATGGAAACTCACCGTTTTTAATAGGTAAAAGCTGTAAACTATCTATTTCTATGAGCCATTTCCCATGGTTGGGCCATAGAGGGTAAATCATGGGCAAATCATGGGTAAATCATCGGAAAAAACAAAAAAATGGGTAAGTTGCTGCTTTGCAATTCCTGAAAATGCAGGGATCTCAGGGATTTCTAAAAATTCGAATCTTGCGAATCAATCAACTAAGGTGGCACATCTAAATGTAGCCAGATCTGGCGCCAGCAATTGGTCCAAAGACGTGGCGCCGTGGCGCCTCTGCCAGATTGGTCCGAAGTTGGTTCAACATGTTTTCTTCATTTGTTCATATGGTTAATAGTGGTTAATAGTGGTTAATAATGGGATGATCATCTGGTTGGTGGTATACCTACCCCTCTGAAAAATATGACAGTCACTTGCGATTGTTATTCCCAATATATGGGCAAATAAAACATATTCCAAACCACCAACCAGTTTTGGTTACCTTCCAGTAAATCAACAAAATGATATGGAAAACAACCATGATTTTTGAAGGGAAGCGATCTATGTACATTTATGATCATTCATGATGCTTGTTCCAAAACTTGTAAATTCTGCTGACAACAGGAACCACCCTTTATTCATCTTTATTCTTTACGGGAGAAAGAAAGGGGAAACATCAATTAACATCTATTACACTTCCCAAAAATAACATAGAACTGCATGCTATTCCTGGTACGGTCCTAACATGAAGCTATGGTACGGTCTCAAGTGAATTTTGTTCCAGAGGAAATCATGTAAACCAGCGATGTTCTGCCAAGATCAGAGGTGATCACCTTTTTTAGGGTTATCCCGTAGGACGCTTTCAGCTCTGCATGGAATGGAAGAGGCAACCGGCCAACCAAAAAAATACGGGAGACTCAACAAGCTAACTCCTTAGGAATTCCTGAAACATGGTTGGTTAATCCCTTACAATTGATGTGTTCGTCATGGTTAGGAAACAGTTGACCGTTTATAATCAATGCCTTAATTTTTGGTTGGATATTGATCATCCGTACTCCAGTTGGGTACATTGAGAGTAGTACGGCCGAAGCAATCAAACATCAACCACTAGGTGGTGGTTGCTGCTGGGGATCCTCTGAAAAATGATGGAGTGAGTTCGTCAGTTGGGATGATGACATTCCATTCTCAATATGATGGGAAAGTCATAATCCAGCCATGTTCCAAACCACCAACCAGACCAGGCTTTTTGACACTGCCCAATCAATTTTTGGGCTTTTGGCTTCGGTCTTTTCTTGGTGATTCCCCCTTTTTTAACATCAATTAACCATAATTAACCATGATTTAGGGTCTAAAAATGGGCACCCAAAAAAATTGCAATTTGGATGGCCTGGCCTTATTCAAATTGCAAAAAAATTCGGGTCGAAAATTTTCGAGACGAAACAAAAACCATAGAAAATCCCCCATTTAGTTGATAGGCTTCCCTAATATGGGTTATACCCTCTTGTTATTTAACAGTTTGCCATGGAGATGGTCCATTTATAGATGGTTTACCTATTAAAACTGGGGATTTTCCATGGCAAACTGTTAGTCATAACCAGAGGGTATACTTATCACCAAGAATCAGGTAGTATAACCCCTTACGATAACCCCCTTTCGATGGCTCTAATGCAAAATGTGTTGTCTTTGCGAGGCATGCATCCCCGGAGTCCCCTCGTTGCTGGGAGTCTATCGATGGGGAGGTACACAAGCATGGGATCTTGTGTTGTCACCCTTCCCCCGTTCATGTTTGTATAACCCCAAAAAACTCATGGTTTAGTAGGAGATGACCGAACAGTACTGTAGAATCATCACACCAAATATATCGTCCATTAGTATACCCTCTGGTAAACTAACATAGCTATGGGAAATCACCATTTTCAATGGGTAAATCCACAATTTTCAATAGCTATGTTAAATTACCAGAGGGTAATATCAACGGACATTTACCATATTAACCAACTCTTAGCATCAACGAACTAACATGAGCATAATACAAACTAAACCGAACCAAACAACCACCTTACCATGTCTGATTGAAGAAGGGCATGCAGAAAATCACAACTATATCCCATCACATAATATGTGTTGATATATCCCTATGAGATCAACATCGTTGATGATTAAATCATCTTTATTTTGTTAATATCCCATGAATATGTCCATGATATACCATTATTTTCATATATATATACCTATAGTTGATATCATACTAGATTATTAGTAATATCCATTTAGTATAAAGATATTTCATAAGTGTGTTATCATTAAATATCCCATTAAATATATTATATATTATCATGATATACTTATTATATATCCCTGGAGATATTCTTATGTATATATCGCTTTAAAAATATTTGTGTGTCAATTTTCGCCCGAAAAAAATGCAAAAAACGCCATCCCTTCGCCATCCCTTCGCCCGAGACGCCGTCTCGGTGTAGACCAAGTACACCGTGCCTGGCGAAACGGCAGAGTTTGGTCATCTGCGAAACGGCGAATGTGTAGATGGATTGGTTTAAGGGAAAAGTTACAGGAAAAGCCCATATTTACTGGGAAAATCTATGGTTTCCTGTAGATTTTCCCTTAAACCAATCCATGGATAGATGGATTGACTTTGATATGATACAATGTGAGGCCCCCGTTAGATAGCGTTCAGTTGGTGAACATAACTCCAATGTCACTATGGTTTATGGTATTTATAACTATAGTTACTGGGACTTTTGTTAACCAACTTATAACTGGGGGGCCTCACATTGTATGATATGATAGATTGATGGACTTGATATGATATTGATCTTCTAACATATATAAGTGATATCTGATTCATGGACTCATGGACTGTGTATATTTATAGTTATAAAATTGTGAATGTTTAATTGTATCAGATCCTATAAGTGCTAACTATTGTGAAAGAGATGGTATCTTCTAACAGAATGAGATGATAACTATTTGTGAATGCTGTTACATGTATTCTACGCTCTTCCCTGCAGCGAGGGTGGGGGCAATAGTCGCTGCAAACTACTGGTATGGTACATAGATGATAATATATATATATATGTATATCTGTGTTTCAGCCAAGAGCTATCACTCCATACATTCCATCGAAGAGTGCTTCGCTGGTCTCAAGTCGAGCTTTGGCATCTATCTATATTGCACCAGCCAATCCTCGCATTGATTTGTTTTAATCGATAAAATCCAAAGATGTTTACAGCTTCCAGCCTCTCTGGGGTTTTGATACCTGTATAACACTCGCCATTTGAGGTCAAACTAAACATTCTTCTGTGACTCTTAGATTGTTGCCATTTGGCGACATTCAACGATACGTCAAGATTACAAATTAACACAAACATCAAACTGTACCCTCTGGTAAATTAGCAGAACTATTGAACAACACCACTTTTAATAGGTAAATCCACTAACTGGGCCATTTACCATGGCTATGTCCAATTCCCGGAAGGACCGGGGAGGATTTCATTTGTCCATCTTTTTTGGGGCCATACCAATTTTGCCAAGCTGCCATACCAAAGGAGAATGCACAAGACGCCGGCGCGCAGCAACCTGGTGATATGATCCACTTATCTACCTGGGGATGTTACGTACATAAATGGGGATATGTATGTGTATATATATATATATATACAGTATATATACATGTATCTATATATATATATATATATTATGTATAAATTATATATATATACACTGTATGCATATACATAACTTGATTATAAATAGATGGACATCTGACTTTTGAGTTGGCAAATATCTGTCAAATATATGTACAAATAACACATGGATTTGTTCCACTGCCATGTTAGATTGCCACAGACTAGCAATGGTAACAATGTGACTCCGAGATGCTTCGACCATGGTTCAACATTGTTTGTTTTGCATCAAATCAACAAGGCATACTGGTTGGTGGTTGACCTACCCCTCTGAAAAATATGAAAGTCAGTTGGGATGATGAAATTCCATGAAATTCCCAATATGATGGGGAAAATAATCCAGCCATGTTCCAAACCACCAACTAGCATAGAGTATGAGACCATGAGACCATCCACATGTTTGTTAATTAATAGCGGCACTGGCTTACTACCCTCGGTGAAGTAGTCAAGCTATCTGTTGTATGGTTCCCCCAGGAATCTAGGACTTGCTGACGATAGAGAGAAAACCCGCAAAATATAGAAACCACCAACCAGCAATAATTGCGAGTCATTGCGAGTCTGAGTCATACCTAACCATTGCGAATACCAGAGATACTGCCCTGTCGGCACGGGAGACTCCCTTCAAGGGGTGATGAATTCTGAAATTTTCACTGTGAACATCTATAAAGTTGAACAAAACAACCATGTACTGCAATCGTCAATGGCTTGCTGTGTTTTTAACTCCAGAAATATACTTTTGGGGAAAGAATCTCGGCCACAAAAAGGCAAACACAAAAACACTAGTTGCATCTAGTTGTATACTACAATCCACAGTGGGGTTGGCTGAACAAACCAGCCCAAACGCAGCAACCTACAAGCCCAGTTTCGCAGTTTTTTGGGGCCCCAAGCAAAAAACATAGGGGCGCGAACAAAAACAGCAAAAACAGAGAGAAATACTGGAAATCACAAAGCAATCAGAGAGGATTTTGGAAGGGACCAACCTTGGAAAAACAGAAACCATCATAAAACTGTTGAATGCATCACTCAAAATCCCTCCAAAAGCCCTGATTTTCAAGCCATCACAGTTTGATTGCTCCACTTCCAATGCCAAGAAACACAGTCATCAAGATAAAGAAGAGTCGCTTTCCTCATCATGTTGGACGGCTTCGGTTTTTTTCAGGCAAAGCAATGTGGCCTTTTGGATTTTTTGTTCATTGCGAATGGGCCAGAATATAGAGATATATACCCTCTGGTTATGACTAACATAGCCATGGATGGCCCATAGAAATAGCATGGTGGATCTTTCCATGGCAAGCCCTGTGAATGTCATTTCACCAGATGGTAATCTATACTATACATCACCAACCTTAGATACTCAACCTGCACTTTGTTTAAGTTAGTTGATTTACTCATATCCATGCCATGGGGTTTCTCATGCCATGGGGGATCCCCAGTCGTCACCATGGGTTTTAACAAACAAACAGTTTAATCCAGGTGCAACTGACTCCTTGTTCCAGATAAACTGCATGGGCTTGGAATCCCCTTTGAAAATGGGATAACCCAAGGAATCATGGCCTCATGACTATCGGGACCTTTAGTGGCAAAGGGTTCCCCTTTCACTTTTGCATCTTCAGATGCAGGGACAAAACAAGATTGAAAGAGCGGCCACTCTGGATCCCGAACTCAAACATAGTGTTTCATGTTTTTTGTTTAATGCAGTAGTTCAATTTTTGGGTACCAATACACCGACACATTTGGTAACTTTTATGTCTACATGGCGATCCAACTTTGGACGCTTAGTTGCTGACTTTTTCAGCGACATCTGATGGTTTGCAACTGGGTACAACCTCAAATGTGGGTAAAACAAGAATAAAGCACCCATTTGGGAATGGTTTATACCAGTACCTCCTATTTATGGTGATTTGGGGGATGGTTTATTATTGTTTTACCCACATTAAACCTGAAACAAAGAAAACCATATAATTACGAGATTTGGAGTGTTATATAGCTTTGTATGAACATAGTGTATCTCATAATCCAGTGGAACTCATTGAACTCATGTTCCAGATAAACAAAAATAACCATTCCATGAAATCTCCATATGTTCTTGGTTAAACCATATTAAATCACCATTTTCCCTATGGTTTTTCCCGAATTGTCCTACTGGATCACAGCAACACCATTTTCAAACACACCCATATGGCCCCATATTCACTATGCTTAAATCCCATATCAAATCACCACAAAATCCCATAAAAAGCACATAAAATCACCATGTTCCCGTAAGAAGCCGAAGAAGCCCATGAAATCACCATTTTTATATGTTTTTATCCCACTTACCTGGTAGCGCCCTTTTTTAATATCAGCGGCAAGCTTCGAGCCAGGCGCACCAGCACAATTTCGCCATCCTCCAAGTGAAACACAGTTTTCCCACGCGGGATCCTTGCCGTGATTTTGGGGCCCCCAAGGGTGGTAAACCATAGGAAAGGTCGGGAAAAAGTAGGGAAAATTGAGTGATTTCATATGATTTGACCAAAGAAATTATGGAGATTTCATGGAATTTATAGCTGATTGATGTGTGTTAAATGGGTTTATGATGGTTTATAATTGTCAGAACTTAAATGTATGATGGATATTGATGGATATATATACAGTATATATATATATACACAATATAATATATATATATATAATTGCAGTCGATGGGGTTATAAGCCAGCTTATGACTTGGAGGCCCCTTCCTGTACCCATGTGTCTTTTCCGGTCGTTATGTTTGCCTTCTTGTATCCACAAACATTGGGTTTTCCTAAGATGAGGTTACATACCCCCCAAATCATCCACATTTGAAGAAACCCAACCTTTAGTTGGGTGTAACTGATCTGAAAAAAATGATTCAACCTCTCAGCAACAGAAGATAAACAACGTCTAAGTGCAATCATGTGGTTCCGGCTGGAAATATGGGCAATATCAGGAAATATAAGTACTGGATGTTGATGGCATAGAACTGTGATTAAAACTTGGTGTATCATCCCAGTTGTTTGATGGAGTTGGGAATTGAAGGCTATATAGTTATATAACTTATATAACAATGGAATACCACAAACAGGGCCTCCCCAATGTAGGCTTGCGTTTGGCTTTCTAGTTACTATGGCTTGCGCTAAACATATCTATAGTTCGATGAGTAACATCAGTTGAGATCTTCTCAGCGAATCTGCAGGGAAAAAACAAAAAACTACTTTACTGGTTGGTGGTTGACCTACCCCTCTGAAAAAATATGAAATTCAGTTGGGATGATTATTCCCAATATATGGAAAAAAAATCTTGTTCCAAACCACCAGTTTAGATATAATTGGCCCACATATTTTCGAGAACTTTGGATCAATTTCAGAAAATGTCTTCCACAAGATTTCGGAAAATGCCTCCGAGAGCATATGAAACCCACGTTTTTTTTTAACACTTGCTGGGCTCATGAGCTCAGAGTCGGAACCCAAAACCTCGAATAATTCTGATCCTCTGATCATTAAAGCTGAAAAGCTGAATCGATAGGCCTGATTTCCGGGAAAAAAAACCACGGGAAAATTCAACAGACACAGACATTTTTATAAAAGGGCAATCTGAAAAATCATCCGAACTCCTGCCTTTATTGTATTTACTCCATTTGTTGTCTGCGATCCCTATTCCATTCTGGACTGGTCAGGTCACGTGACTCCCAGTTTCACCCTGGTTTCGGCCGATGCTGAAGGACTCAAACAATCCAACGGTGAAGGAGAGCAACTTCTGAAATTCCTCAGCGACAATCATGGCTGCTATGTGCTATGATCACATGTTCAACCTTCAAAAATAATCACCATCAAATTAGCGTGCCCCGGTTCGCTATGTTCGCTGGCTTTTTGATGGTTTCTAAATCCCATCAACTATGGATTTATCTGCCTCAAGTAAACCCTAGTGAAATCATAGACTCATGGATAATCACACTTAGTAAACGCATTAATTTACTTCCTGCAAACCCAGGGAACCACCTGGGGTATCTCGTAAGAAACAACCAACAGTAGTTTCAGCATTGCTGCCTCGAATGGTTGAGATATATTTGTGAAATTATAGGAGTCTGAAAATCCTGAGTCAATGACAAAGGTCCATGGGGGTTGCTTCTGCAGTGTGATTACACCATAGCATTCTGCCAGGACACCCGTTATAATTGTGGTAGCTGAGCTACGTGTTGTGCAAATACACTGGAGATATAGTAGTTCACCACCAGCAAAATGGACGAACACATTCTCTATACTATACGATCTCCAAGTACTAATTTGATTTAGCATGAGTTGGCTGAGTTTTAGCTTCTATATATCCCCGTCATACAATGTGTTGCCCACAATGATATAAATTGCTTCATCAAACCAATATTTACGATGTATTTACCTATGAACCCTAGTTAATCTATAGTAATCACCCAAAACAAGATGTAGAAAACTGTTAAACTAAGTTAAACAATCCCAAAAAAAATGTCGAAAACTGTTTCCAAGATGTTGGTTCCATGCTGTTTCACCTTTTTTATGGCTTGGTTCCCCCTCTTTTTTTGGGGCACTTTTGGTTGGCCATGGCCTGGCCAAGTCATCCAAGTCACTGCGATCATGGTGGAAAACCAGGCCACCAAGGCCAAAGAGCACATCACCTGCAGCGCATTTTTTTTGCGAAGCTCCAAATGTGGCACGAACAAAGCAGAACGGCTGAGCTATATCTATCTTTATTTATCTTATCTATTATTTAAGATTATTTATATCTTTATCATAGATATGTATTGTCTATATTTAACTATATCTATCTTTATTTATGTAATTTTTCTCTTGATTATGTCCAAATATTTTTTGGGCTGGCATATCTAGATATATAGGTTGGCTAAGAGCTAGCAGCTAGACTTTTTCTACATTTAGCTATTTAGATTATATATGTGTGTTGTTGAGCTCCAAATAGATAAATGGTTTCTTATGCAAATCTTTATTTGTCTATATAGACAATATTTTTTCTCAACCGGACTTTTCAAGCTGACAATTCGTGCCTTTTCTTTACGAGCACTGTTGAACCATATGGAATCAATAACCAACCGAAACCTGGACTCGAACAACAAACGATTGGATTTAATCTTGAAAGTTGCGTAGCGAAATGTATGGATTCAACCCATCATTTGATTCAGACTTGACATGCGGGGTTCTTGAAATATCCTTGAAATGGGGGATCCCCAAGTCACCATGAATGTCAATACTAAAGTTGTCCAACTTGGATGATTTGGGGTCATTCCCATTAGGAAACTTTCACATGGGAAACAAGACAACAACATGGGCATTGAAGAGCCAACATCGGGATGTACCTTCTGTAATCAACTAACATAGATGTGTTGTTTACCAACCATCAATGCAGATCATTTACCTAGGGAATCGTCTTGGTTATCCACATCTATGTAAATGTTTACCCTCGAAAAAGCGACGCTTGCAAAGCGTTCCACAACCATTCATCGGGCTTGCGGCGCTTCCCTAGGTCGATTTTTTTTTGCACAGGGTCGGGTAGCAAAACCACAAAAGATAGGCATGTTTTCAAAACAAAACACATCCGTGAAAAGTCATGTTGCCACTTTCCGAATTTTCATGTCTGTTGGTTTATGATGGTTTAATATGGTTTATGCACCATTGCTGGCAAAGAAAAAACATGGTCGACCATGCATTCACCACTTGGAGCTGAAACTTGTGGAAAAACCACCAAACTCACTGTAAAAAAAAACATACGTATAAAAACATCCGTTTCCGTTATTCTCCCCATCAAACAATTGTTATGTTTCATAGTCACTACCTGGTAGTGGCCATAATTTTCAGAGACCCGCCAAGCCGCAAAACCGGTACTCATCATGGAGAAACCATACCTGGCAATAGACCCACAGGCTGGTCAATCAACCCACAGGCTGGTCAATCATGCATCATGTAGGGCTGAACGTGGTACAGTAACCAGTAAACCAAGAAACGTGCCGGAAAAAAAACACCTGCTAGAGAATCTAGTGAATCTAGTGCAAAACATGGTTGCTTTCGATTCTTAATGCGATTGTGAGAATATTATGATATCATGTTTCAAAATCATTCTGTTGACTGTTGACCCCGGTGGCTCAACCACAACCAATCATGTTTCTTGGTCAAACCATTTAGGGCATAGATCAACTATCTGAAGCAATTTCGGGTGATGTTAAGGAATTGCAAGTTTGAGCAACCGGTTTTGCGGGTACCCTCTGGAAAAAATAATATAACGATGGAAAATCACCATTTTCAATGGGTAAATCCAATATAAATGGCCATTTTCAATAGCTATGTTAAATTACCAGAGGGTATACACTGATACAATCCATTTTTGGACAACCCCAAGTGCCATCCAAATCCCTCAGCCAAGATGCTGAAAGACGTTCTCGGCAATTTCCTCGCAGTGTCAGCAGCATCACCAACATCGATCACGGCTATCTAAGGGTCCCCACACATCTGTGGTTCCCAACATGTGTGTGTGTGTGTTTGATATCACCCAAAGATTGTGGTCCGTTAGTCACCCCGAAGGTCTTGTATATTTGTTTGGGGGTTCTGTTTGGGAGGTGTACCCTTTGTTCAAGCGTTGCCCTTTCAATTTGCGTTGGTCAATTCTATGAAAGGTTCACGGGCAATCATTAACCAAGCTGAGGATTTGAAAAATGGAAAAATCCAATCAGAGTTTATTTTGGGACAAGTTATCTCAGACCGGTTTGGGAGTTTGTTTGATGAGGTGGTAGTTATAAGCCTCCATTTTGTGTTTCATTGTTTTTTAATTAAATAGGTTCTAAGTGTAAGTCGGCAACTATAAGACATGTTAAAACAAAGAAATCCATGATCAATGGATTGGTTTAAGGGAAAATTTACAGGAAAGCCCCATATTTAATGGGAAAATCTATGGTTTCCTGTAAAATTTCCCTTAAACCAATCCAATGACATGAACATCACCCATCAATTTATTTGTTTCTTGGGAGTCCGCACAACTTCACGCTGACTTCACCGCTGAAGCGGTGAGTTCGACGCAGCATTCGACGGAAGATGACCGTGGGACGCTTGTTGCTTTATTGAAGTTCTCCAAAACACATCTGGTTCACTGGATTGGTTTAAGGGAAAATTTGCAGGAAACCATGGTTTTTACAATCAAATATAGGGCTTTCCTGTAAATTTTCCCATCATCCAATTCTATGGACATCTGGTTGGTGGCTTGAACCCCTCTGAAAAATGATGGAGTTCGTCAGTTGGGATGATGAAATTCCCATATATGATTGAAAATAGAATTCATGTTCCAAACCACCAACCAGGTTCTGTTGTTCACCTTTAAAATCCACCATGACACTCCTGAAAGCTAACATACAGTGTGGAGCCCCCCAGTTATAAGTTGTTTTATAAGTCCCATTAACTATAGTTACAAGTACCATACATCATACTTATTGGAGTTATAAACAAAGTTAACTATCTACGGGGGGCCCACATTGTAGAACATAATAAAACCCCAAAGTGAAAATTCCGGATGTGGGGGCAAGAATATCTTCAGGGCCTGCGTTGCGCACTGTGTGAAACTAGCGGGATACGCATCAAATTGTCACTTTAATGGAACACGTGACGATTTTGTTTGATTGGTTCTGTGCCATCATATTTTTGGGGGGATCTCTATTTCAACACAAAGCAGTAGATTGGTGATCCTCCCATACGTGGATAGATATTCAACGGCCATTTCAGGAACCGAAAAAAAATGGAGGTACCAATCCCATATATTTTAGGCCTGCCTATATATATCAGTCCAAAATTTCAGGGAAGATCCGCACAATTCATATGGCCTTATATATATATATATATGGTACAGTACTAAGGTACCTCCATCAATTGGATCCTGAAATTCCGATTGAGATATAATTATCATTAATCATCATTTCAATGGCCATTTCAGGAACCGATTGATTGGAGGCACCAATCCCATATATGTTTGGCCTATTTTTGAGGCCTATGTAAGGGAATATCCCCACAAAATAAGGCCTTATATGGTACAGTACCTCCAATTTAGGATCCTGGAATTATCATTAATTATCATTGTTCATATCCCCGTTTAGATGAAGTATGTCGATAAACAAGATGAGGCTTGAGGTTCCAGGTTTCAGGAACACCAAGAAGCAAAGGGGAACCCGTCTCATCTTACAATCACTGGATTGGTTTTAGGGAACATCTACAGGAAACCCCTCTTGTTATCATTGAATGGCTACAGTCTCGGATATCATAGAATATGATATACTGTGTATATCCAATATCTATTATGGATATATATCATGATGATCCAATATATGATGTAACCCCATATTCTTGGATATATAACGGATATACTGTAAACTCCAAATCTGAGTCTTGTAGAACAAAAAAAAGGGTTTGTCTGACACTAATTGTAGGCTACCCAAGAATCATATGGCCACATTTTGGGGATGTTTTTTGAGTGGAAGACCTGGCCATGCTTTAGCTATGTCACTAAAACCAACGTTGTTTTTTAAATGGCCTGGCCATGAAAAAAAAGCGTAAAAATTGGGATGGATTTAGAAGGTATTTGTGAACATTTCCCATTACTATAGAGTGAAAGGAACAACATCCAAGCAACAAAAGCAATGTGCAAGCCCTGTACTATAATTTGCATTGCCCAGCAAACAATGATCTTCATAATTCATAATATCGATTGTTGCATTAGTCAATGGGAATTCCAGGATCCTAAAATGGAGGTACTGTACCATATAAGGCCATATTTTGTGATGATATTCACTTACATAGGCCTTATATAGGCCTTACATATGGTAGGTACCTCCAATCTAGGATCCTGAAATGGCCATGGATCTATGGAGGTATCAAAATTATCGTTTATAAAGTGCCATTGGCCATTGGCCTGAAACTTTTTGGGGAAATGATGGAACTGTCCTTTTTAAAGTGCGAGGAATCAGTGCGATGCGCCCATAGATGACTCTTTAGACATAGAATCTTCCCTCTAGAAAATGCTTTTCCATGTCTAAAGCTCCAGCAAAAAGATATTGGTCCAGAATTCTTGTAAAGACACGTTTCTATAATATGCATGGTGTAACATGCTATGGCCATTCTTTGAAGGAAAGCAACGGGTTATAATCCATGCATTGCTGCATATATTGAGCCGTTTCCTTGTGGGAAAGTCGTCTCTGTAGATCCAAGGGCATGTTCTTTTTTTTTTGGCGCAAACTACGGTTTGATCAATCTGGTTGGTGGTTTTAACCATCTTGAAAAATGATGGAGTTCGTCAATGGGAAGGATGACATCCCATATATATTATGGAATTATGGAAAATAAACATATTTGAAACCACCAACCAGTCAATGTTTCATCCCTCTATGCTTGGTGTATGAAGTGGCGGCCGGAATCCAATTTTATCCATGCAAGATGATGCAAGGATGTACACTTCATAGGCTGCTATATATATATATATATATGGGGGATGTTTTATCATAAGTTGTCCCCATTCAAATGGTTTCATTGAAACTACTCCCCAACTTTGGACAAACCCACATCCACGGTTTTAACTTTGTGAAATCCTTTCTTCTCTTGGTTACACGGCCATGAATTCCAACAAAAACATACAAACACTATTCAATCTTGCAGAAAACACCACGGAATTCCAGAACTGTTGGTAAAATATCATTTTTGTACTTTCGAATTTTCTTCCATGCTGTTTTTTGGACAATTCCTAGACCTCTTGGATTCTTGGTACATTTCCCTTTAAAACGTTGTTTCTAAAACGACACCGACGAGGTCGGTCCCGCCGCGCGCCGCGTCGCGCCTTCTCGCTGAAGGAGGTGGCCAGGGATTTGTCGAAGTCACAGGCGCGAGCTGCCAGAGAGGTCAGGGAATTCTTGGATGTTTGACTCGCCTGGCGACCAATGGGTCATACCCATATGCTCCATGTATGGAATATTTACCTACATTTGGGCCATTTTTTGGGGAAATGTAGGTAAATATTCCATACATGGAGCATATGGGCAATGGGTCATAGCTCATGGGCTTGCTGGGTGAAAAACATCGGGTAGACACTGCAAAAAAATGACTACTGGAAACAAAACATATCAAAAAATCAGGTTCACCCCTACTCTCCACACTGAAAAAACACTTGAGACACTGGAAAAAACAAAACTTTAGAATCTGTACTTTGAACCTTTTTGAAGCTGAAATCTCTTATTTGTACAATATTTGCAGGGGTTGGGCACTTAAACATGCATGTTGCATCATATTTAAAGCGTTTCGGCCTTGAATCTTTGAGTTTTATTTGCAGTTGAAATTGAAATTTTGTTCCAGTATCATCCCGAATATTATTGAGTATTGTTTTTTTACCCAACCCATATGTTCAACTGAACATATTCCATTAATCTAAGTGGGTGAACTAACTACGCTGTTCTGGTATTCACCAGCTATGCTTGGGATGCCACCGAAGTAGCTGTAAACACTGGGTTACATAGAGAAGTGAGTTGGCAAATATGGAAAAAATGTTTCTTCCTTACAGCCAATGATCTGTTCAATCAAGGTTGCATGGTTTGCCTGGATTTATACTGGGTTCAACACTCCGGACATGTTGGGTGTTTCCATTTCCATTGTTTGACCACCAGGTTACATATCCCATTCTCTCCCCATGATATCCTACCATGGTTTATTACTTCATTGACATATTAACCATTAAATGACAATAAATTACCATTACTTCGTTTATCATTAACCATTATTACATATTATTACTTCATTAACCATGGCTTAATCCCAAAAAATAACAATGGTTGATCATGTTTGACTAGATATCCCATTATCTCCCCATGATGTCCTATTGAATCCCATAAAATCACCATGTTTGTAGGTTTTTGTTGTACCCACCGAGGATATAAAATGGGCTTGATGTGCTCTGCCTGATGTGCTTGATCGATTCGCCAATACCGCAAGGCTGTCACAGAACTTTTCCTGATTTGTACAAGGTGGTACCCCCCCAGTGATGTTTGTTGGTTTATAAACCATAGTAAGTATAGATATATCATGATATATCTATCATAAATCATAGTTATTGGAGTTATGTTCACCAACTTAGCTAACTATGGGGCACCACCTTGTATGGCTGATGGCTGGCGATTCGCTACACCAAATACTGTGGAAGGAGAAATCCTACACCACCGACCTTGGATGGTTGAAACCCTAGAAATCATGGGATAAATCATCTATCAACTGGTGCAGGATTTCTTCCATCCACTGTATGTATGTATGTATGTATGTATGTATGTATGTAAATCCAGTCGTCCTTGTAAATCCAGTCGTCCTCTAAATGCATTCATTTGACACCGCCAATCTGAATCAGTCCCACCAAATAATGACCATGGGGGTATCTGGTGCATATATATATATATGAATATATATATATATATGAACCCCCACTTGAAATACCACAAGATCCAATGTTCCAATCAGCGTTGAAACACCTTTTCAAAAAACTCCCGTTGAAACTCCGGGGGTGCGGTGCACCACTCAGAAATAGACCAGATGCCAGACCCCCAAATGTTGCAGGAACAAGGAGGGGTAAACTAGGAATAATTGGGAATAGTTGCGCGCCCCAACAGAGTCAAAAGTAAACAATGCTCGAACAGCAGTGGATCTTTGCAAAGAATCACGTCTTGAAAACGACATGTGAACAGAACTTGACGCACTCATAGGAATCTTCCAAGGACTCCAAATAGTAAACCACCCAAGCCAATCACACAAAATAATGGCAAACAGAAAAATATTGTGGAAATTGGCCAGTGATTCATGTACCCTCTGGTAAACATTCACAGTTTGCGAACTTGAAAATGGCCCAGTCGAAATAGTGGATGTTCATGGATTTTCCCATTAATAGCATGGTGATGTTCCCATCAGTTTTTTGCACGTTTACCAGAGGCTAATCTGGGATGTTTTTTTAACGGTTTTGGAAGGCCACCGAAACGCGCAGTAGAGACCAAGGGTCTCAAAGGGGTTCTCTGTGAAACTGGTGTAGACCATGTAGCAGAAAACCAACCTGGCAAGTTGCGGTATAGAGATGAACACAAACACATATCAAAACAAATGGGTTGGATGTTGGTAGTTAATCAATATCAATGTAATATATAGGGATAATATATATAATTATACATATATATATATGTATATATATACTTGGTTCATCCCACTTAGTAAGTGGGTTATAACCCCAGTTATAAGTGGATTAACCCTACTTATCCCATTTATAACTGGGGTTATAACTCACTTACTAAGTGGGATGAACCACCAAGTATATATATATATATATATCTATGATATAATTTGCAGCACTATCCCCATAATTGATTGGTCAAGGATGGGCAAGGATGGGCAATGGTTGTGTTGGTAGAACCGCAATTTGGATGATTTACCCTCTGGTGAACTAACATAGCAATGGAAAATCACCATTTTTAATGGGAAAATCCACTATTAATGGCCATTTTCAATTGCTATGTTAGTTCACCAGAGGGTATAGTCAGTCCGACGGAGTCCGACATATCCCGAAAAGTTCTCCATCCCATGTTTAATTCCTGTCTGCAGATTGCGCTGCAATTGCCGTGGTTGTCCACAACATACTGAAATTGAACTGAAACATTGAAACAAGAAACATATCCAATGAATTAAACTATGAAAAGATCGTATGGGCTTGTCCAAAGTCCAAAAATTGGAAAATACCACTGAATGCCAGTCTACTAGGGAAAATGATGATCGACCATTGGAATTGTAGTTATGTGTTCTCAAAAAACATCAATCAAACGCATAGTTAGAAACGTTGGAAGACCTGGAAATATTCGATAAACATTATCTCTACCATCCTGGAAACCTGTGTCTATTTTTGCTGAGGGTTCCTGTATCATGGTCCAGGTTCCTAAATTCATCCTTTTGGGGAATTTCTGACCAAACAATCACTGATGGGGCCGCAAAAATGCACTTTAAAAAACAGCATTGACAAAGTGACTGAAGGAAGACTGTGAAGATCAAGAGGAAGAGAAGCACCTGAGAAGACTTGGACGGCTCAGCCATTACACTCCGCAAGATGTTGCTCCCCAGTGAGTTCTCTTTGTTGGTTTATCACCCCATGAACACCAACAAAAACCCTGTCAAACTAATATTTTAAACTGACTTAGCTAAGTACGGGCACCACCTTATGGCATCTTTCTCTTCAAAATTCATTGGGTTCAAGGGAAACATTGTTGGAACAACATGTCAACATGAAAATATGTGCCTTTGAAGTGTGCCTTCATTTAATTATGCGGAAGAAAAAAATTGTAGTTGGTTGTGGATGAACCCTGAACACATGGAAACATCATATACTCTAGACTTTACCCCCATCAAAAGTCAAACAACAAAGGATACCACAACTCACCCGATGTGTGTCCAGAGAGTACCCGCTAGTTTGTCCAGAATGGGCTATGGGAGGTATGGGACCCCATTTTATGATCTGTTATGGCCATGAAAAGAAAAAAATCTTAACAGGAATTATGAAGAAACAACATTCAAAACCATTTAAAACACATAGCGGATTTTGTGGCTACCCTCTTCTTGCACAAACCTATGCTACACAACACCTCCAAACCGGTGCTCGAATGGCTGGCATCTCACCAAGATACGAGCGATGAGCCCAGGCCAATGCTTGGATGCCCAAAACAAATCACAGCATCCCAGCAATTCTCCTCAGAGCGAAATTTGGCAAATTATCAGTGGAAATTTACCCTCTGGTAAACTAACATAGCTATTGAAAATGGCCATAGAAATAGTGGATTTTCCCATTAAAAATTGTGATTTTCCATAGTTATGTAAACGTTTACCAGAGGGTAATCATCAACAATAAGGATGTTCACCCAAAACTCACTGGTTAATAGTGATGGTTAATAGGCTAATATACTGGTTATTAGGGATATAATGTACCAGTAAGTCAATCAATGGGAATTTCAGGACCCTTAAATGGAGATTCTATAGCATATTATAAGTTTAGAGCTGGGAATATTCCTTATTCATTGTTGGTTAAATCCAATAATTATTCATTGCTGGGAAATGGGAAATCTCCCAATGGTTGCTGGGGTTGATGGAGGTTTGTTGGTTCTGTCAACTTATTCTGAGTTTGGCAGGGATATAATAAGGAAATCATCCCCTGCAAAACTGGCGGACTTCCATTGAGGGGGAGCGAGTTCCGTTTTTTATTGCGAGATGCGATTGAATAGGGATATCATAGGATATATATATATGCATACAACTTGATCCAAGTAAGAAAAACAACATAATCGTAAACATCAGAATACTCTTACACAAACACACCTTTACTGATACTTCATGTTTAATCCGGGAAGGAGAGTAGATTTGAAGCACCTTCCAAATGATGTCTAGATGATTTACATCACCCTACTGTAATATGTTTTGCCCATTTTTTCTGGTCCCACATGATTGTGGTTTCATCCCCTACAATCAGGCATGGTTACCCTGTGGATTCCTTAACTTGAACGGGGGATCGGATTAATAGTTACTACCAATAGTATTTCGGGATGGGTTTTCCTATAAATCTCCCATTATGTATTATTCAAGGCCTGGCAACCATGGACCATGGAATACAATCCCAAATACTTGCCATGGATGCTCCATCGGACTATCTTAACCCTTACACCGCCATTCTTGATCTGTACATTGCCACTTTTTTGCATCTCATTTTGATCGGGGGGAGTGGGATGAGCCAACTAACAACAACCCCGGATAATCAACTCCGTTGATCTTTGAAACTTGGGTAGACAACAACTTTATACGAATTTATGCCACGTGTTAATCAGGAAACTGATGGTTCCAACGCCATCAAATTGTGCGGCACCCTAATTATGCCAATTCATCCCTTCGGCCTAGTATTAGATACCACCAATGCTGGATCTATTCATTTTGCGGTCCCCAGTATGTACTGCCAGTAAGAGAAGATATTTGATATGATCGGGGGGTGGATTACGACCCATCAACCCTGCCCCCCAAAAAATAGTTCTTGTTTAAAATTGTTATATCATGTTATATCCCCATTATCTATATCTTCAAAAATTTGATGACTACAAATGGATATAAATGGTGGTGTCCTAAAATGGTGGTACCACCAAATCATCCATTTATAGATGGGATTTTCCATCAACCAGCTCTTTTTGTACCCACATTGCAGGAAACCTCCATATGTCCACAAGAAAAGTTGGCCAGAGATTCACCCATAGATCCACCATTGCACCAAGGCTCTCCTCCCTCATTTTTCGGGTCCAGAATTCCCTCTTTCCGGGCACAAATTCAAAAGCGGTCGCCTGTTCCGCATCGTCTCGTCCAGAGCGCTGGCTAGGCAGCATTGCGTCCGGCAAGTGACTTTGGAATGTTGTGTCAGCATCCACGATCTTGTGTGGGGCACCTGCCAGTAGCCAAAGAAGTGCTCTGGCTTCCTTGGAGCATGTTGCACTTCCGAATGGCACGAAGGCATAATCTGATCCGGCCTGTCCGGTCAAATTCGTAATGTCTGGTTGCCTCACTGGGAGGTACCCCCCTAGTTACATTAGTTATAAGTCGCGCAACTTAATTTATAACATAGGTTAAGCAGCTTATAAGTTGGAGGAACTTACTTATCTTCTGTTGGAACTTACATCTTAGATGCTCCAGATAGATTAATTATATGTGAGTTATAAGTTTGCAACCTTAAAACTTAGTAAAAAGTTAAAGAACTTAGCCTTTTTTATTTTGATTTTTCATTGGTTTATTGATTTCCGCATGTTTTCGTAGCCAGAAAGACTCTTTTTGAATGCGTTGTTGTTTTCGGATCCAGAAACAGGTTTTCGATTGATCCATCCGTCTTTTCAAGTTGAATTTGGCGAAACTTTGCGGTTGTCCGCACCATGCCACGTTCACAGTCATCTGGTTGTCCGCACCATGCTAGATAGCTGCTGCGTTGTTTCTTTAACAACAACAGCGACGAAAGAACGAAAGGAGAAGTAGAAGAACGGGTCATCTGGCTGCTGTGTTGTTCTTTGACAACAACAGCGACGAAGGAACGAAAGGAGAACGAGAAGAACGGGCCATCGTTTTTTGGTAGTGCCTCTTGATTTTGAGCACAAGCGCGCAGCCGTTTGGGCTCCGGATATAGTTTCATGCTAAATGGATTGTATCTTTAGAGGTTCATATGGATGAGGTGGTATTGTCATCATGTTTCTTATTATTTGAAAATTCTATACCCACATCCACCCACATAAAACCACAAATTTCCACAGCGGTGGAAATGTGTGGAAATTTGTGGGTGGCCTTTAGCCAAGACTACACCCACAGATTTCCACAACGGTGGAAATCTGTGGAAATCTGTGGGTGGCCTTTAGCCAAGACTACACCCACAGCCACCCACAAATTTCCACAACGGTGGAACTCTGTGGAAATCTGTGGTTTGATGTGGGTAACATGATTTGTAAATTGTGATTTGAGCATTTTGTTTCCTGTCCGGCCCATGTTGGGTCATATGATGCTTTTTGCGCTCATGTCATTTGGGGATTTAAATCAGGCCCATGTTGGGCATGCTAGGTCCCTCGGTATAGCGGGCCTATAGAAAAGGAAGTCTGTATAGGGAAGGTTTGATTTCCAATCGCAAAATCTCTTGTTGAGGTTTCTTCTGATTTGGAGGCGCCGCTGCTGGAAACCTACTCGCCTTCGTCACGAATATCGACCTGTATTTACTACCATAACATGTGTACAGTGTGCATTCATTTATTTAGTTTAATATGGATTGCACAGCCCAGGCTGGTGGACGATTGATGGCCTGGATGTTTTGTGCTTGCTGTAGCGACAAAAAAAAGGTGGTGGTCCGCACGTCCGCTCGTTGCCGGCGGTGTTCCGCACATATAGACAAAACGGCTGTTTGACTAAAAAAGTACGAAAAAAAAGTTAAACAAACTAAACTTTTCCAAAGAAACCACAAAAAGTAGAAAAGCAACGGGAACTATCAAAAAAACCGTTCAAAAAACAACCAAAATAAGTTACGGAACTTAACTTAGTTGTAAATTCAGTAACTAATTTACAAGTTACTCGCTATAAGTTACTTATAACTGCATTCCAACTAACTTATGTCTCGCAACTTAGTTACAACTAGAGGGGACCTCCCAGCATGTCATAGTCAGCGCATAGTGCCCGCACACAAGTGGACACACGTGTGAGATCGCCCAATGAAAGCTTCAACTTGGTCCGCAATGAAGCATCCATTGAGAAGGTGCCCTCAAAGCGATAGTCATTCCTGAAGAGATCTGCAACTGTTTTGTAATTGTTGTTTGTGCTAGACAGCCCCTGTAGGATGCCTCCCACCGCTGTGCGGTCGCGCACGAAGAGACCGCCTGTGCGTATCGACACGCCAGCTCTCAAGAAGTGGGTGTCAATCTCCAGAAAGGCCTCATCTTTCATGAGCCTCTCAGTATCGACTTGCACCGTGACCGGCATGGTGTCTGCGCCTACTTGTGTCACAAAAGTTACGCACTTCTCGTTATAATTTATCCAGATATATGTATATATGTGATATGATGTTCATGAAATTTCCACAACGCTCCGCCTCAGGTGCCAAGTTTCTGCGAAGGCATAGCCTGAGTTGTGACTGTCATGCTTTGTCAGACCAAGAGCCCTCGAGTAGTCTATAGCTATGGAAAAATATGGAAAATCAACCATATGTATCATTTTATTAGAATATGTATCATCTCATCTATAATCTAATATAACTAGCATGTATCATTTTATCAGAATATTTATATAATAGGTAAATCATCTGTAAATCATCCATAAATCAGTCATGTTCCATAAGTATGTCAACTAATCAGAGGGTAAAGCATGTGTTGTTTTTTCCTGTTTGGCCAGTCAATCATTGAGTTAACACGGAACGATATACAAATACCATCTGGATATTTAACATAGCCATGGAAAAAACATTTTCAATAGGTAAACCATCTATAAATGGGCCATCTATACCATGGCAAACTGTTAAATAACCAGAAGGTATCTTCGAAGATAGATTCATCGTGGATCATCCAGAAGTCTAAAATACCTGTAAACCCCGAACAAAACCCCGAAAATGGGATGAAAAAAGGCAACTCAACGCACAGTTCTATACACAACGAACGTCGGGGGAAACCTATGAGTTTCCAACCTGGAATTTGAAAATTGAAAAAAAAACTAACAATCAATTCGGGGATGCAATCAGTTTGTCCAAAGCGAAAGGGGGATGAGTTTTAATTTTCTGGCCTTCGATGGGACAAAATACAATTCTAAACCATGGAATGGGATACCTGATTCTTGGACAACCCCCTGCAGAAAAAAACAAATGTTTCATTACACATTTACCCTCTGGTTATTTAACATAGCCATGGAAAATTGCCCATAGAAATAGATGGTTTACCTATTAATAGCATGGTGATTTTCCATGGCAAACTGTTAAATAACCAGATGGTAATATGTTTCGTTTGTGCCATATCTCAATTCATTTGGGTCATGATTGCTGGATTTGCGTTGGTGAACGTGGAGTGAATGCAGCGGGGATATGTTGCTGGTTGAAGTGACGACTTTTCGTAGGTGTAACCCAATCATCAATTCAAATCAGAGGACCCCAACGGGTAATCTAAAGTTGCAATGGCAAATCCCCAATAAATTGAGGTCTTAATTGGCAATGGATTGGTTTAAGGGAAAAATTACAGGAAAGCCCCATATTTCATGGGAAAATCTATTGTTTCCGGTTTCGATTTCCCTTAAACCAATCCATTGGGTCATGGAAGAAACAGCCAGATTTCATCTTCTACAGCCTTGTTGGTGAACGAAGGCTGAAGACTCAACCGTTCCAAAACTGGTCTTGGTACCATATCCTTGATCATCATTGTGCTACGTGGGAGACAAGAATTTGGGGCTAAAACTACAAATCCTTGGATTTGCTGATTCAGGGTCCCCCAAAAATAAAACATCTTCCCTATAGATCGATCGATTCCCCGTTCATGGTGGATTTTCCATTGGGAAAATATAAAATCTCATGAAACAAACTCAGGAATACCCTCTGGTAATTTAACGTAGCTATTGAAAATGGCCATTTATAGTGAGTTTTCCCATTAAACATTGTGATTTTCCATAGTTATGTAAACATTTACCAGAGGGTACGATATGATAGCCTACCTCAGAACGCATCCACTGGTTGAAAAAACCTCAACGACTTGACATGGCTGATAATGGCGAACACACCATGGGACCCGACACGTCATCAAATATCATATCAAGTTGGTGATATAGCAAATATATATATATATAAATTATGATAAATATGATATTATCACTATTGTTATCCAATTATCCAAGCAAATTATCCCACCAAAAAAAAACTATTCAATGAATTGCCGGTAGGTTCCCAATATATTCCATTGAAACGGGTGATTTCACAACGTCCCAGTGATTTCCGCAAACGAGTGATACAAATCAAATGGTGTCTGCGGGCCTCAAATCAAATCCGCCGGGTCGATGGTGGATATTCCATACCAATTGGTATTTTCCCATAGCTAAACCCATCATGTACAGTGTTGAATGAAGTTATCTGATAGTTTCCATATCTTCCATCTTCCATCCACACTATGTTCACCTTACTGGGGAGGGACACGCCTTTCCGCCAGCGTGATCGCCCCGATCGCCCCTTGGACCAACTTCAGCACTGCGTTCCCATCTTTTCCCACCGGGAAGGTCAGGATGGTGGTCGCCGGCACCGTGCAGGCCGCCAAGCAGCGAAAACTGCGGGCATCCCCGCTGTGCGGATGTGAATTCGCGCAATGCCAACAAAAACCAGGTGATAAAAACCGACATCTCACAACCAAGGCACCATTATTTATCACTTGTTCCCACGTTTTGGTTTTAAATCCCCAGGTTGATAATTAAACCCCAGGTTTTGATGGTTACTTTGCTTGTGACATCGAAATTCCTCTAGGAAACCAACTTCAGGATTTGTTTATGACTTCAATATGGTTTTTGATATGATTTTAAGATATGATATTATTGTTTTGTTTTGTTATGATTTGGATATGGTCTGGGTTATGATTCGGATATAGTTTCGGATATGATTTTGATATGGTTTGGGAACGGAGCGGCTTTTTTAGGGTTCCCGATGGGTTGGCTTGGAAAAAGGAAACTGAAAGAGCCGCGGGACAGGCTTTTGGTCGGTTTCGCGAGGGTTTTTATTACTTGATACGATTTTGATACGGTTTTGATAAGATTTTGAGGCGATTTTGTTTGCGGTTCTGATTTGACTTTGATATGTGTTCAAAACATGTTCAAAAAAACAACAACACCTTTCAAAACAACATCACTTTTGACCCACAACAAAATTTCGATCTTGACCGATATCGAAATCATAGCTGAAATCATATCAAATTCATAACTGCAAAACCACAAAAAAATAATAACAACAAATATTACCAAAACATATCTGAATCATATCAACATCATTAAACAAATTTAATAGGTTGAACAATCTCCATCCTAGAGGCTTCTGATGTCATAATACTTTATCATATTTTATCCAGATCTATCCCCATTTTTATGGCCATACCATGGCATCTTCACGGCTTATCCATGCGGATAGGGAACCTTCCTTGCTCTCCACCGGATGGTCGGTGTCATTCTTTTGCACCTCGCTAGGCGGCCAATGTGGACTGGAAAGGTCGGTGTTGAAGCCGACTTCAGACATGTTGATATGTGGATTTCAGCGTGAAAAACGTGAGATCTATAGTCGCATGTTTCATCCTTAATTAATGTATATAATATATATATATATATAAATAGATATAGATATATAAATATAGATAGTTCCTGTCCCAAACCTTTTTTTAATAGATAGTTCATGTCCCAAAACTACTTTTTTGCAGTTCAATGTCTGTTGTTATCGGTAAATCCAATTACAACGTGAGCCACCGTTGGCCACAATCAGATATAGATAATCACCAATCCCGTATATATCTAGATCGTCAACCAACCGGGTAAATTACATCATTTTAGCATAGTTCAGCAAGCTGAAGACTTCGGCCATTTGGGGAGACTTCTCACTTCTCACTACTCACCATCATTTAATTTACACTGACGTTGGCCGATGAGATATGTAATCCAGATGTCATTTGTGAAATCAAATAGAATTTCGTTCTCTACATCCCACATTTTGTTGGTCAATCGCAATTGTTTGCTGGTTGAAAATCAACAGGTTCTCCATGAATTAGAGGCAAAACAAAGGTAAACCTCCATCCAATGAGGTTGTGATATTTTTTCATCCAAATCCATATTCCATGACATTCCATAGTATCTCAGTCGTATGCTGGGCCCCCGTGAATTGGCAGGATATCCTCTGGCGATCAAAAGTGGCAATCAAAAATGACTCATTTATAGTTGATTTTCCCGGCTAGAAACTTCCGTTTACAGGATGATTTTCCAGCAAACCACATTTGATTACAGTACCAGATAACTAGATTCAATGATTTTCCCATTATGTCCCAATTGTATCACTTTCAATCCCCATAAGTCCCCAAAATAAATATTTTTTTTCTGTTGGACAATTCGCATTTTTCTTGCTAAAAAACATGACACTATAAGTCACCGTAGCTATCTACAAACGGGTGCCCCATACTTAGCCAAGTTGGTTTACAATCCCACTAACTGTTTGGTTTATGGTAGATATATCATATTGATATATCATGATATATCAAACTAATTACTATGGTTTATAAACAATTGGTAGATATATCATATTGATATATCCTGATATATCAAACTAATTACTGTATGGCTTACAAACAGTTCGAAACCAACTTAAAACATAACTCGGGGGCACCCACCTTGTGGCCCCTTCCTGGATCCATCGGACATCTCGCCTCCACCAAGTCCTCTTCAGAGCTACTGCTGGACGCCAAACGCCCCGCCAGTGGCGAGCCCGCAGCGCGCCCGTGGCCTGTGGAGTGATATCACCAGCAAAAATGGGGAGCTCACCGGCACAAAACCATGATTTTGCATGATTGTGCCAACAAAAATGAGTGGCGGCTAGGGGAGAGCATAGCCGGATAGTTGGCAGGTTGCCATGCTGGCAGTGTCTGGTCACCACTGCAAAGCACAGTAGCCCCTCAGCCCTGCACTCATTGATGATATCATTGTTATCATCAATGATGCCACTTGCATTGAGCTTTCTGCACCAGCCCAGCTTGCCATGCAGGCCCACCCTCTCATAGCAGCAGTGGACCCCCTTGAGCTTGCTTCTGGTGCTGGGGCTAAGCAGCTGCTTGACCTGCTTGTGGACTTCATTCTCCCTCCACTGGGTCTCAACATATGACAGAATGTGCACATCTGCATAGTCCATCAACTTGTTGAGTGCTTTTTCATTTTGGAAGCTCACCCTGTCATGTTCTTCAATTGTATTGTGCCAATCAACTACCATGATTGGCTTCTTGTAATTCTTCAGCCGCTCAGTCAACTGCTTGGTACGACCAGCTCCTCCAAACATGCCAGTTGAAGGTCAAAGGCATGTCCTCCTCGACAAAGTAGGTGGTCGGCATGTTCCACGGCGTGTTTCTGTGCACGCAGTGGAAAGCGAAATCGTTCAGAGGAATGGCCAGTCGCGGAAACATGCCCAGCTCCCGGCAACCCTCCTGGCTGGATGTATACCACTTGATCTGCTTCACCTGGTTCATCTTGGTGACCGGATTTAACGGCGGAAACAGAAATCTTACTCGCAAAATTGCGATTGTTTCCATGATTTTAGCAGAATATATGTATGGTATTTTCGTTAAACCGGCACAAAAGTGTACCGTTAAACGGGCAGAACCCGTGATCTTCCCTGCAAGATTTGGGTTTGGGTTTTGCCCTTGAAAATTCAGATTGTGCCTGTCGACAATATGGATCTCAGTCACAAAAGCTATCATCTGACCAAAAGAATCCAATAGGTATAAAATGTATGTACAGTGAACCCTACTGCAACAAGATCTTCAGGGGCTGGATTGCTGGATTTAACCTTTCTGTCAGCTAATTGAAGTAAGAACCCTAGGGTACCCTGGAATTCTAGTCACTGGTTCTTATTCCCCCATTAACCGGTATCAATATACCAAACATTGATTGTTGATACATGAAAGCAAGGAGCCAGTATGCAAGAAGCAAGCAAATCGCCGGCACCACACGGACTCGAACCCCAATACGGCTAGAAAGTAGGATCACGCGCCCTGAGCCCGCTGCTAGCCGGACTCACTAGACGCCATCTGACTTCAGATGCTGCCTTTGGCTTATGTTTGGTTCGTCTTGGCTTGTCTTGCCTGCTGCCTTGTTTCGGGCCCTTAAATCAAAAAAATACTTTTCGTGACCTAAAAATATGTTTTCTTCCCCCCGCCTCCTTTGCAACCTAATACCACGCCAAAATAAACTTTCAATCCCTGGCATGGTGGAATATCTGGCCTATAGCTCTGTTTGGAATGCCTGCACCTGAAAAAACTTTTCGGGACCTAATTTGTTTTTTTCTTTCCCCAGCCTCCTTTGCAACCTAATACAATGCCAAAACAAATTTTCAATCCCTGGCATGGTGTAATATCTGGCCTAAAACTCTGTTTGGAATGACTGCACCTGATTCATTTTTTTGGAATCTAAAAAGCTGCCTCTTCCCCGCCTCCTTTACAACCTAATGCCACGCAAAAAATGAATTGGCAAAACCCTCACCATATGGACCCCTTAAGAACTAACCCGTTAAGAACTTGAGGGTACCCTCATTCATAATTCCCATATTTTCCACCTATAGCACTTAAGAACCCCAGGGTAGGCTGGAACATTCTTAATCGGTTCTTGTCTAACGGTTCCGCTGTACCACAAAATTGGACTTAGCCAGAAATAGGAGGCTTCACCCATCAAGAACAGAGTTTTGCAGCTTTGGACCAAGAAAAATACGTATGGCACCACGAACATCTTTAGAGTACAGTATCCTCTTAAAACACCTGGTGGTTTCCTAAAACGGGGGTACACTTGAGTATTGAACCCATGGTGACTTGGGGTACCCCCATTTTGGTGAATAAACCATAGTAACTATAGATATATCAACCATATTCACTATATCTATATCTCCATATTATAATATACAGGAAAATATAACCAGGGATGCCTGTTTACTATATATCCACATTATTCATAGTGACTACAGCTGGTGCGTCCCTTGTTTTTACCACATTTTGTTTTAGCAACTGGACACAGCCAGCCGAGTCTTTGAGAATCCCCTGGGCCTCGTTCCAAAAACTCCAAGCGACCCTGCACCTGCAGGCGCTTGAAGGATCCTACAAGTGAAATGACCAGCCAAACATCAACCCAATGGTAAAGCCATGTTATGATGATGGTGAATGATGGTTAATTATTGTTTTTGATGGTTAATGATGTATAATGATTAACCAATTGAGGTTAACAATGGTGAATGGTTGTGAATCATGGTAAATGATAGTGAATCCGGGTTAACGATGAACCCATTGAGGCTAATGACGATGATCTAGCAATCATTAACCCAATCAGTAACCCAATCATCAAATCAGCATTCACCCCAATGAATGCAATATTATTTTATTGCATTGTAAACCATTAACCAATCAAAACGTCGACCCAATAATGAACCCATGTTATAATGTTGGTTAATGATGATCAATGATGGTGTTTGTTGGTTAATGTTGGTTAATGATGGTCAATGATGAACTCATTGAGGTTAATGATGGTTAATGATTGTTAATTAATTTTAATCATGGTTAATAACGGTTGACCTATGAACCCAATCATCAACGCATCGTTAACCATCATTACGCTCGCATCCTGAAATTCTTGAAAACTGATGTTAGTGATGGTTGATCATGGTCTATCATGACTGCAATCAACCCATCATTGAATCATCATTAATTAACCTATCATGCACTGAAGGTAGTGTTTTAACCACAAGATCTGGATCTTGATATATCGGATAAACCTATATAAATTGAACTAATTCACCAATCTGAAAATGTTGTGCTGCTCACGTCGGACATCGGTCAGACCCCCAGCTGAAGCAGAGGCGGACTGGTCTGTGTTCCTCCACACTCCACACAACCATGGCCACAGATTTCAAGCAACTGAGATCAGCACAAAATATGAATCTCATCTCAGTTGAAATTTCGTGGCATGGTTTATCTTAGTACTAAATGATGAGATCAAGTCCTTCAAGTGGAGGTTTCGTGAAATGGGGGTACCTCCAAATCATCTATTTATAGAAATTATAGTTGAAATTTTCCATTTTTTTCGCCATCCAGCTATGGGGGTACCCCCGGCCGACTATGGAAACCCCCCTGGCGCAGTGAAGATTTCATCTAAAAAACGGCTCGCCCGATAAAACACCAAGACCCACGACTGTTCCGTATCCGCAATAATTCCGAACATTTACCCTCTGGTAAACTAACATAGCTATCGAAAATGACCATTTATAGTGGATTTTCCCATTGAAAATGGTGATTTTCCATAGTTATGTAAACGTTTACCAGAGGGTAGTCCAAACGATGGCCCAGTCAGGCAGGTAAAAAAAAAAAAAAATATATATATAATTTACAAATGTATCTTTGTAAGATACCATGCCTCTTAGACTTTCTGTGGTTTTAGCTGGTTGGATTTGTCTTTCCATATATTTCCTCCATAGCCAAAAATCCAATCCCGCCAGCCGTTCATGAACTAGGGTCTACCCGACCATCTGGGACAATCACAAAGCATGTCATTGGGGTTGTTGCACACCAACACCACAGAATGT